ATAACAGCCCACAGTCAATGGCTGCTCCATTCCTTACTGGACTACGAGTGTCTTCTCTTTTGCGTGACTGACTTGATTGTGATTTACGAATCGGTCACTCCTTCGGCTTCCATTGTTCTCTGGTTAACACTCCACAGATGAACACTGAACTCTCTTACGACTGAACTACGACTGACTCGTTCTTCTCTGCACAGCTCCTTATATAGGCTATCGGTAACCAAGGAAAATGTCTGTTGTCATGGAAACTTCCTTCCCGAACCGTTGGCTAGCAAAAAACTTCCATGTCTGTTCGTTTCAGCGTGAACGTGTTTTTGGCGATCCGTTGGCTAGCAATTGACTTCCGCTCTGGCTCCACTATTCCGGCTTTCAGGCATTATATCACAAATATCATATATCGTATCATGTCAAATAGAGTACAATACCGGATGTTGGCAACATGGACAGTCGGACAACAACTCCACACTGGCACCGCTAAATTGCATGAGATTTCAATGCATACTGTGACCGTGGAAGTTGCAAGTCGTATTTGAATATTAAACACATATAAATTGTTCAAAACGTGCTTTAAAGCCCTATTGTACTATACTAAAACACGTAAGGAACCTGTTTTCAGACACTATGAATGAAAACAAATTTCTTTTTTCCTTCCTGCAACGACTGTGTTCTGGAGGTCGCCATTTCTTGCTGAATATGAAAGTTCGAATGTCTCATAATACTTATTCCGTTTCGTTATCTGTAGAACCGTAGGAATGAAAGAAAAATTATTCTGAACTAAAATTTTACTCGTATGTTCCATTTCTTCCTACAAATGTTGTTCGGAACTTTCTGTCTGATAAATGTTTAGCAGGATGCTCTCAGAAGCTCACACAGGCCGTCCTGCCGTTGTTAAACATGTCCAATGTGAATCAAAATTGAAANCCGTCAACCTCCTGGACACCTGCTCACTGCACAGTGCCGAACTGCCCACATCAGCGGTCCGCGACCCACCAACGTCCCGATATTATCGTACTGTTCTTGCCCCTCGGGTTACCTAAAGAAAAATTGACTGTGCAGAATATCCCCGCATGTTCAGTTATAGTATTACTTATACAACTCTTTTATTGACCGTCACAAGACAACATACAGAAAAAATCAAGGTTAGCGCCCAGCTATGGTTTCGCTACATGTTTCAGCCACTAACTGCCATCATCAGGCAAACACATATTAACAGACATATACACGTACCATTGAACTGCTGTAATCATTTAAAATACTTTGCGTAAAAATACAATAAGTCAGATTATATAAAAACTAAAATTTATTGTATAAAACAAGATAAAACTTAGTTGATGTTACACAACATCGAATCAGTTGTTGATTTTTTGCTTTTCATACGTTTACATGGACCAATTGGAAGTTCGATATTTCTTTTATATATGAATGTATAGGAGGCCCGTGATGTTGCAAATTAATTAATATTAATTTGTTAATATGTGTTTGCCTGATGATGGCCGTTAGTGGCTGAAACATGTAGCGAAACCATAGCTGGGCGCTAACCTTGATTTTTTCTGTTTGGTGTGCTGTGACGGTCAATAAAAGAGTTGNAAAAAAAATACCATTGAACTGCTGTACATTAAATTGGATATAATGTTATTAATAATTTAAAATATTTTACGTAAAAATACAATAAGTCAAGTTATATAAGAACTAAAAGTTATTGTATAAAACAAGATCATGGGCCTCCTATACATTCTTATATAAAAGAAATATCGAACTTCCAATTGATCCATAGAAACGTATGAAAAGTAAAAAAAATCAACGACTGATTCGATGTTGTATATTATCTTGTATGTTATCTTGTTTTATACAATAACTTTCAGTTTTTATATAATCTGACTTATTGTATTTTTACGCAAAGTATTTTAAATTATTAATAATATTGTATCCAGTTTAATGTACAGCAGTTCAATGGTATACGTTTGTTAATATGTGTTTGCTGATGACTGAAGTTAGTGGCTGAAACATGTAGCGAAACCATAGCTGGGCGCTAACCTTGATTTTTTCTATTTGTTGTGTTGTGACGGTCAATAAAAGAGTTGTATATTATAACACAAGAGGATGCATGAAATGAAACAAAAACATATTAAAGTAGTAAAGCTCTTATGATGGTAAAAAGTAAATGAAGATATAATTTGATTTTTATCGCTTGAATTGCTCTGATTTTCAGTTATAGCCTGACAAGCGAAAGTTACCTGAGAATTGACCCTCAGAACGGAGGCGTAACAGTGAATACAGAATTCAACTATGAGAGGCAGCCCCAAGTGTTTGTAACAGTGAAAGCGGAGGACACAAATGCACCTCCACACACTGCTTACGCCCAGATTACTGTGAACATCCAGGACTTGAACGACGAGAGGCCTGAGCTCTATATGGTAACACTTCCTTGTCATCATTACTGCCAATCTTACGAACACAAACCTCTTCACGATGAGTATAGCCAGATTACGGAAACCGTCAACAGAAATGAACACGGCTTACGACTTTTATGCCAACAATTAATTAAACATATTTCTAAGAGATTAACGGCCGTGGGGATCCGTTGTTCTGACCACGCGACTTCCTCTATCCACTTAAGTTGGTACTAAATTCGCCGACAAGCGGCGGTCGCTCGGTAGGCATAGTTCGTTTGCGGACTACAGGCCAAGGAGTTCTAAAATGCACCAATTATTCAAGATCACTGCAATGTGCGCCGACTGACGGAGTTCTGTTTACTTCCAAGGCCGTGCTGTCTTGTCACCGAGGCATGACGTCTGCGGTTACGGCTGGAGGGGAAAATGGGGAAATGGGTTGGGATATGTTGAATAGGCAGTACTGGACATCCTGCAAGTAGCAGTCGTCTTGTCGGGCGTGGGCTGACATCCGCTCACGATATATAGACTAACATGTTATTAAATATATGAAATCTCTTGGACTTGGGACGGACTCTTTGGTGGTACCTAAGCCTCGGTACTCATTGGAGAGAAGAGAAATATCATACAAGCAGGTCTCGACTAGTTCGGATAATGAATTCCATGAAGTTGTCACGTTATTCGAATTCGTACTAAGCACGAGTAGAATGTGGTAATTGGTTCCAGCTCGATGGGAATATGCCATGAAAAACTTTAAACATATTTTTATGTTTGTTAATGAAATATTTCATTAAAGGACGAAAAGAATGTACTTATAGTTTAAATTTACTTCTACAGCTTCAAAGATACCTTCGGATTCCTTGAGATTAAACTCCTTCACCTGCACTTCACCTCATTCTTCAGCATTACTGTCGGTTTCTTCAAAAGCTCTGTGTTGTTCTAAGAGTAGGAAATCATCAGTCAATTCTTCCGAGTGTGAACTGAGACCTTCCGGATCATCGTCACTTTCTGGTTCATCAAACCCAAATTCTCTTCCGATATATATATATATATATAACAGTTTCTTTTTCGAAATCACTAGTATTGCACAACGACACAAAAAGCACTACCACACCCCACGTAGGTTGTTTTCAGTTAATTGCTGCCAATCATGGTGAGTTTGAAGCAATTTCATTTGTCCGTTTTATTAAGGGCGGCTCATAAAAACGATCAAAACAAAGAACGAAAACAGATATATTACGGCAGGCAGCAGCACATGCACACACGAAGATAAATGCGGACTGAAATAGCAGCATCTATAACCGTAACGGTTAACCTCAACTGCGCATGCGCTATCCTCGCATTAAGTGAATTTTGGTTCGCAACGCTACCTGGTGTCGTCGTACAATTCGTGCTTAATCGAATATCAACGGGTCAGGTAATCCGACAGCTGCCAAACCTGTAGAACACGATGAACAAAGTAATCTAACACGAACAAATAAATGAACTCCGTGGCCTGTAGTCCGCAAGAGAATTATACTGTGCGAGCGGCCGCCGCTTGTTGGCTAAGTTAGTGCCAATAACCGTCTGAATCATCTCTGAGAATGTGTCACCATCAGATAGTGGCTTCGAGCATCACGTTACGTTTAGGCCGCGCCATAGCTCAAGCGGCTAATCGCTGGCTTCCCACCACGGCGGCCCGGGTTCGATCCCGGGTCCTGTCAAGTGGGATTTGTGGTGGACAAAGTGGCGTTGGGGCGGGTTTCTTCCGAGTACTTCGGGTTTTCCTGCCCATCTTCATTCCACCAAATTCTCCATCATCATAATCACCCGGGGCATGCTATAATAGGCCAATCAGTGGCCGCCGTGCCGAATGAACCCAGTTGGACTCCACCTCCCACTAAGCAAATTAAATTAATTAATCACGTTACATTTAGGAAGTCATTAGATCTGAACTGGGCTGTTATATCATTTATTCTGGTAGAAGTTTACCACTGTTTCTGAGGAATGTAATGCCTCCACCTTCAGAGTCAGAGCAAGAAAATAACATGCCAGGCCTCGGAAATGTGGTAGGATATAAGCCGTGGAAAGAACCATAAGAGAATCAGTAGGTCTGAAATAATTTCGTTTCAGTAAACGGTGCAGGCCAAAATCGCCACTTCTCTTCTCGTAAAGTTGCATTCTCAAGGTACTGCTTATCCTCGAAAGTGTCCTCACAGAAGTGTGGTCATCACTTGCTTCGCCCCTAGCAAATGGAATAACGTACTGGATCTCACGGTAGTGACTAGGAAAGATACTTCCTGTCTGATGTCACTACGTGTAGTTTCGAAGGGACCTGTTGCCTCCATCTTCACCCTAAAATTTGGAGAAGTTCGGAGTCACGTCCTAGAAGATATTAATTTTTTTTAGCAACCGTAGTCAGAATTACAAGTATAATGCAGTCCCCTTCTGTCGGAAGATTATATTAAGTGAAGTCCATTTTTGTGTCCTAAAGAAGTAGCCTGCAGGTTCTTTCGAATTGTCAGTGAATATTTATCAGGCTTTATGACATAACATCCAAAAAAATGCAATATTCTTCGTCTGTGTTAATTAATAACTTCAATATAGTCGGGAGGTTTCTTTTTAAACGTCCTGCTCTTATGAAACAACACACGCGAATATGTGATTAGCTAATAAGGGGTTTGATACACATCAGGTAATATATTTGAGTAATAATTTCGTAAATTGAGAATATATAAATAATATATACTGAAGTCTAATAAATATCGTGTCTTCTCGCTAGCCATCAAGCCCAACGGACATCGATGAGAATACTCCCATCGGTGAAGAGCTGCTTGTGAACATCAATGCTAGGGATGCGGACGGCAATCCAGAGTTATCATTTGGAATTGACTGGGAGACGTCCAGAGCTGCAAAACAAGGAGTGCCGCAGGAAAAATATGTTTTCATAGAGTACGTGAAACACATTTATACAGCTTCATTTGGACACAAAAGGAGTGACTTATTCGGAAGTTACTTTCCACTCTTAAAAGTTGAAAATAACCATGAATTTTCTAGGGAATTCGTAACATGAATAAGTATTCTCAGAGCTTGCCACTGATACGATCAATAATCTCCAAAGCTTTGCATCAGTGTTGTGTTTATTTTTGTTGAAGTCTTTATTATTTAATTATGGTAAAGTTTGCTTGTCAAAAATGTCTAAAAATATATCATACATCCGGGTTAAAATGGTGGAAAAAGGGGACATGGTTTTAGCCTTCTAAGTGACGAAGGAGAGCGCCGAAGTTTTCCTCACTAGCGGTCACTGGCGTCCTAGATTTCTTTTCGGATGTGACAGTAATGACATAAGTTATCTTATCAGCAATTCGGCCGGTCCTTCTGATCATCACAGTGAATCCTGCAACACTGGTGTAGCAAAAAGCGAAGCACCAGAACTGACTGCTTCAGCAGCGCATGGGGTTCTGTTCAGAGGCCGCTGTTTTTGTTGCAGCAAACTTCTTTTTTTACCTTATGCCANGTAAAATTGTCCTTGTGCTTAACTAATTAAGCAATACGCCATGAAGGCGTACGGGAGAGTGGATGCATAGATGCACATTTTCTTGACCTCTGCATTAGCTGGAGGTGAGTTGTGAGTTTAACACCCCGACCGCCTCACCCGGTACCCATTAGATAGAAGGTTCGGTGGACCCCGGAGCCGTTCTGGACGACGTGGAGAAGAGAACATTCTTGACGTTACAGGGACTCGAACTCTGAACTCTCGGTCGTCCAGCCTTAGTCAGTCGCTATACCGACTAAATTATTCCGGCTCCTAGTAATTCAATTCAGTTCAATTCCATTCGTGTGTATTTATGTGTAAAATTAGCAGCACAGAGGCAAATTTCAAAGTTGACACTAATGCATAGAAATACACAAAAATAATTAAATAACAAGCACAAAATATGACAGTCTATATACTTGCAATATAATAATAATAATATCAATAGCACTAAATCTTATTTTATTTTGGAATTTTAAATTAAACATTGTTAATAAAATCTCATTATCAGGCACCACCAATATCTATGTGGTACGTTGGGCAAAATTGTATGTCAGTTCGAACCAATTCATATTCTCAGAACGTATTCCAACTTTCTCTTCTTCTTAGATGCCGATTAAAAACGACTTTCCCCAAGAAACTACATATGGACTTTTTACAACACTCGTCCATCTTATATGGTCAAATAATTGCATTGCCAAGTGAACTGCCCAGTGTCACATTCTCTCTTCCTCGATCTCTTTTTCTTCAAAGTGTCTTATGCGGGAATGTATTCTCATATGCTTTCCCACTTTGTATTTCTTTCAGATGTATCACAATCGACACCAATGAAGAGCTTGGTAACAGTAAAAGTGCAAAAGCAGTGCTGAGAGTGGCCAAGGAATTGGACTGGGAGGCCTTCGACACTTTGTACTTGACTATAACAGTAGAGGACAGAAACACAGGCAAAGAATACCAAGACTTACGGTCTTCAAGCGGTTAGTAACAGCTGGACCAAATGCTTTTATGTGAACTATTAAGAAGCTGCAGTTCTGAAAAGTACTGTCTTATGTTCCGCGGTGTGTTTTGGTAAAAATTAATAACGTCTCATTCAACGTCATGCTTCCATCTTCATGGTACACTATTCTACACCGAGGATAGGTACAGCAGGTTTCTCTGAAACGTTATTACTTTTATACTAGACTACACGGTGTCACATAGCAGAAGTAATTTTATAATAATTCTGCAGAATTCAGTAAAATAATAAATGCTATCCCCTTAACAGGCCTTTAAGGCCTGTAGGGCTGTGAGACGTCGAGGCTCCCACATCTTCCAGACAGTCGGATCACCGATGACGGTGAGGTTGTCAGCCTTACACGCCGGCATAACTTTTCAGCAGGAAGATTCCTTGTACTCATTTTATTAGAGGCTGAGTCGACCCAAGGGCTATAGAGCGGCTGGAAAGATTAGGCAATTTGAAAAAATCCAATGACAGCAACGGGAATCTAATCCACCACCTTCCTGCTTGTAGCATAGTGTCTTAACTAACCACGTTACCGCGTGCCCCTAGTGCACTAAAATTGTGTAGAAGAAAGTCAGTTATAATTGTATTCACCACCGAGAGGTCCTCAAACCTTTTAAGATATTTCAGAATTGGGGTTCTCAAGGCGGTATGTTCGAATGCGACGCCGTGTAGTTTGGTTAGAAGTTCACTAGCGATTCAGAGGAACGCGGTACCTCTGTATTCAGGTTCAAAGAGTACGCCGGGCAAGCAGGAAGCAATCAGAATATTTTGCCCCAGTGATGCAGAATAGAAGCCACTATCCGCTAGGCCAGTCAAGAATTCGCAGCCCTCTAAGGAACTCGAGTGTTCATATCGCTTTCATAACAGTTTACCACCTAGTCTATACGTATCCTGAGCCAGTTTAATCCAGTGCACACCTTTGAGATCTGTTTCAATATTATTGTCCCGCGTACCCGAAATTCTTACAAATGGTTGCTTTTCTTCGAGTGTTCCAACAAAATGCTTGTGTATATTTATGGTCTCTACCATGCACGCTAATTACCCTGCTCGTCTTATCCTTCATGATTTGATAGAAGTCTCAATGACGCTATAGTTCCTGTCTTCCTCTTAAAATATTAACTAACAAGTACTCAACCTATGTCATGCATTTGCAAACTCAAAGTGGTCTGTACTTTTAGTCATTCATTCTTCTTCTTCTATGGCGCAACAGCCCGGAGTCGGGCCTTGGCCTCCCTTATCAAGCCCCTCCATTTCTCTCCACCCTGCGCTGCTCTCTTCCAGTTCCTTACACCCATTCACTTCTTCGCATCTTCTTCCGCCGCATCAATCCATCTAGTTCTTGGTTTCCCAGTACGTCTCCTACCACCTATTGTACTATATATTATTTTCTTTGGGATACGCTCCTTATCCATTCTCTGTACATGCCCAGCCCATTGCAGTCTTTTTAGCTTTATCGTCACTGAGATCTCTGGCTCCCTATGTAATTGTATAACTCTTTATTATATCTTATTCTCCATATCCCATTCTCTTTTATTGGTCCATAAATTCGTCTTAGGATTTTCCTCTCCAATGAATTGATGACTGATTCCTCTTTCTTGTTTAGCGTCCAACCCTCACATCCATAATAAAGCACCGATCTTATCATTGTTTTATATATTTTTGTTTTAATCGCTCGGTGTATATCCTTTGATCTAAAAGCTGACAGTAGCGAGAAATATGCATTATTCGCTAGTTTTATTCTTCTTGTTTGTTGTGCCACAACGATTGCTACACCAATATTGCCTTTGTAAATCTTATCGCTGCCACCAATTGTTCTGCCGTAAGGGGGGGGGGTATTTAGTAATTACCAAAGAAATAATAGTTCACAGTAGTCTACTCTCTGTCGGCTCATGTCCCTCAGGAGCCTCTCCTCTTCCTCCGGCTTATTCTTCCTGTACGGACTGTTGTTGCTCCCTGGTTCCGAGCTCACAGTTCCCATGAGACGTAAGGTAACGCAGGAGCGGTAAGGGGAAGGAGCCTAATGGGTTGTGCCAATGAAGTTCTCTACATTTTCATCCTACTCTATTCGTCTAGTACCTACATACATACATATATATACAGTAAATAATGCCGACTACTGTCGGGTCGCACAAGGTTCACATATATTCGTTATTCCTCCTATACTGACACATGGTATTCAAGCCTGCTCTGTTGCTCATTCTAGTCACTGGGTTGCACTTTATTAATATCACCTTATACTTCATGGCTAATATGAGTAGTTCGACTTATTTGACAAAGCGATGCAGATGATCATCGCCAACCACCACTTTGTCGGTGCCATGATGGACATAGCCTCCGGCTACACTCCTTGAACTGATTGTTTGATTAGCCTCGAATATTTTCCCTTTCGATACTTTTGTACTCTGGATTTGGTGGCTCATCAACTTCCGGGAGGGTGAGCTCCCGCTCCTTCCTGACGCTATTTCTAAGGGTGGCTAGTGCTCATTGGATAATTACTTCTCACGGCGGCGAATCCCGTTCTGCCAGCCTCTGTCTACTCAGCATTTCTAATACCTCCCAGTGTTTTTACCTTTATGCCTGCTCGCTTCCGCGTTGTCAGCGCGACAGTGCTGAGCATGACATTCTTTTACCATGCCCTTCCGCGTTTCACAAACACGGACCTTGTGTCAGCATGGAATCTTTTTAACAATCCAAAAACATACTGTCCATGCCCCCATATTACATTTGCAAATTTGGGGCATAACATTGTTTTTTTATGATTTTCCTCTATATCTTTGTGGAATTTCGATCCTAAACATATGAAGTCTTCAACTATTTCTATCCCGTCCCCTTCCAACTCATTCATTCTACCTATAACTAATTAGGCAATACTCCATGAAGATGTAAGGGGGAGTGGATGTGTAGACCTANCTATTTCTAAGGGTGGCTAGTGCTCATTGGATAATTACTTCTCACGGCGGCGAATCCCGTTCTGCCAGCCTCTGTCTACTCAGCATTTCTAATACCTCCCAGTGTTTTTACCTTTATGCCTGCTCGCTTCCGCGTTGTCAGCGCGACAGTGCTGAGCATGACATTCTTTTACCATGCCCTTCCGCGTTTCACAAACACGGACCTTGTGTCAGCATGGAATCTTTTTAACAATCCAAAAACATACTGTCCATGCCCCCATATTACATTTGCAAATTTGGGGCATAACATTGTTTTTTTATGATTTTCCTCTATATCTTTGTGGAATTTCGATCCTAAACATATGAAGTCTTCAACTATTTCTATCCCGTCCCCTTCCAACTCATTCATTCTACCTATAACTAATTAGGCAATACTCCATGAAGATGTAAGGGGGAGTGGATGTGTAGACCTACATTTTCTTGACCTGGGTACTAGTTAGAGTCTATCCCGTAGTCGGTCGCTATACTGACTGCGTTATCCCAGCTCTATTCATTATCTATACTTCTTTTTAATTCGCTTAGTGGAGGGTGGAGTCTAACTGGGTCCACTCGGCACGGCGGCCACTAATTGGCCTATTGTAGCCTGCCCCGGGTGATTATGATGATGGAGAATTTGGTGGAATGAAGATTGGCAGAGGAAACCGAAGTACTCGGAGAAAACCCACCCCAGCGCCACTTTGTCCACCACAAATCCTACTTGACAAGACCCGGGATCGAACCCGGGCTGCCGCAGTAGGAAGCCAGCGAATAACCGCTTGAGCTATGGCGCGTCCTATCTATACCTTAATATAAGTTATATAATAATGCATAACGTAGATGAAATTGTTTATTGCCACGTTCGCACTAGTTTTACGGAGTGGAAGCCAAGCTACTGTACAGTCTGTAGGGGCAGGTTTGCGTAGCACTCACTCAAGGTTTCTAGTCCTACTGAACAACCAATGATAGTATACTGCAGCATCCTGTTGGACTCTGTGTTCCCACTCTTTGTCGTCTTTGTGCAACTTCGTCGATATATTAATGTTCACATTTCTCCGTCTTTTTATGGCACACCACTACATGTTTAGACCTAACTGGCCATCATCAGGTGTACAAGGTGTTGAGCTGAAGGAACCCGCTGCTCTGCTATTACACTGATCTGCGCTTCTTTTTGTAAATGCTCCAGAATATTCTGGGTTACACTGGGCTATCATGCCGATATTATTCACGTGCTTGGTGTATGTTTTGTTGGTTTATCTTTTGTTCTCTGTGTGGCTATTCTGAATGTTTCAGTAGAAATGGAAGCTTGACGCTGGCTACCGGCCATCGAGGTATCACGATAACTTACTGTAACCCAAAATATTCTGAAGCATTTACAAAAATGAAAAGCAGAACAACGTACCGGCATAGCAGCAGGATTCTTCATTCCAACAGCTCTTACCCCAGATGATGGCCAGTTAGACCAAAACATGTAATGGTGTATCATAAAGAGAGGAAAACTTATAACTGTCAGCGATATTGCGCACCGTCTGATTGCATCTTGATAAAACTTTACTTATGGCACTTTTGTAATTATTTCAGCAACGCTGACCATAACAATCAACGACTTAAACGACAATCCACCAGAGTTCTCACGTATTGATAAACTGAGTTTCAAAGAAAATTCGGAAGAAGACGAACTTGTTGGAATCATTATCGCCACAGATCCGGACGGAAAAGGAAACAATGAAGTCAGATACTATTTACAGTATGTACACTTGCCGATCAGTCAGTTTGTTACGTCATCTCTTGCTCTACTAACTTCTCTTACTTTACACTAGGGGACGAACAGTTAATATCAGGTATAAAGAACATATCATGACATCAGAGGCAACAACAGCAACTTCGGATATTCAAACTATATACTGAACCCTGGACAGACATATGGAGCTATATGTGTTACTATGGATATTATTACAACGGGAAGGAATGGGTCACATTTATAAAACCAGCAAAGACAACCTACATATGTATATCGATACACATAACCCAATATTCGAGACACTACGCGAGCTTTACACCAGATAGCAGCACACGCAATCCTAATAACGTTATAAATGTGGGATTAGACATACATTAATTCAATTTTTATATTTCAAACTACGAATTTTGTTATAAATAAAATAACTTAAAATATGTTAGGCATTATTTTTACATTTTATATGATTATTATTCGTTGACTTTAACCGAAGTTGACTCAAAATGTTACGTGGAAATATAAATCTTTTGCTGTTGCCCTTCTATTATTTTAATGGGTTTGCACTCAAGAAAATGAAATATAATTTAGTTAACTTGGCATTGCTAGAATTCATTACGAAATGCAATGTTACAGAGACGACCTTTATGAAGAGGAATATGTTACCATCAATCCCACTTCGGGTGAACTTCGAACAGGAAAAGACAAAATCGACTTCGAACAAATCCAGGAAATAAGCTACAGTGTGATTGCAAGTGACGGTGAGAACTCAGCACTGATGCATGTAAGTTGGATGTGGCACAGAATTAACTTTCCCAGGAATATGAGATCACTCCCCATGACAATAAATTGTAACTAAGTCTGTCTACTTTACGAACGACCGTACGCCGTAAATTGAGTACCCAACCACACGGAAGGCGGAGTCGGCATAGCGACGGGTTACTGGGTGGGCGGCCGCGTTTCGAATTTCTACAGGGGCAAGTTTCTTCTTTCCTCCACAGTGTCCAGACCGACTTTGGGGCCCACCGAACCTCGTATACAATGGGTAAAGAATGTTGGAATTTTACTTCCACTCTCCAATATATCTTCATGGCATTAAGCAAAGGGACAGGGCCGCGCCATAGCTCAAGCGGTTTGTCCCTGGCTTCCCACCGCGGCGGCCTGGGTTCAATCCCTCGTCTGGTCAAGTGTGATTTGTGGTGGACAAAGTGGCGCTGGGGCAGGTTTTCTCCGAGTACTTCGGTTTCCCTTACCAATTTTCATTCCACAAATTGCTCTACAATCACCCTCACCTATCATCTGGGGCTGGTACAATAGGCCAGAAGTGGCCGCAGTACAAGGGACTTAGTCCAACCCCACTAGCAATAAAAAAAGGCACAGGGACAAGTCTGTTTTTTATTAGTTTATGGAAAAGAAAACTCATGTACGTATGTCTGAACATCCTTCCGGCGTGTGAATACCGAAAATATATTCAATATTTTCTACTGTGATGTAACTGTGTGCCACACGAATTGCGATGTCGCGCCCTCTTTTCCATAGTAGATGAACTACAGTGTTATCTATATTTTATAATATTTATTAAATTCGATACTAAATGGGACGACAGCATGTTTTATGTAAAAACACCTTAAAGAATTAGCTCGACGAAACTCTGCACGATGATGATAATTATCATCATCGTCTATATTATATTATTATTATGTCTATTATAATAGACATTTTCTTAACCTTTCTTCCTTGTATAATAATGTGTTTCCTTTGTTTTGTTTTGTTTGTTTTTTTTTTTATTTATTTTTGCTAGAAGACACTGAAAGTTTGGAACAGCGCACAAGCAGTTTTATATTACCTATAGTCATATTGTGAAGGTAGCGGATCTACATGTCGATGCCACAGCCTTCATGAATAGCCTTCATGAATGTTTGCATGCAAGAAACTAAGACAGAGGAATGAAGTGTTACAAGGCAGTAATTATTTTGAAGTTAAGACGCCAATGCGATGAGACGAGACAAATTAGTTCTGAAATTTTGATGGGGAAACTTCTGAACTCGTGATGAGGCGCAGAGTAATAAATAGTTAATTCCCCAGTTCTTGGAGAAATGGACCTGTAGAGATGATTCAGGGCTTTCGTTTCGCATCCTTGCATTCTTCAAGGTAAGAGAAGGATAGGGAGCCATATTGTTGGTTGCTGTCAGTTAGCACTTTCTTTGTGAGCTGTGGAGTTGTTTCAACTATTTGTACCCACCGTCACTGGTTTTGTAACGTTTATAATGATATTAATATGCTGGAGGTAATTATGATTTTTAAAATAAATATACTTTATTTTATTTAAGATTTCCACAGCAGTGATTGTGAGGCCTACCATCTTCCGAAATATGATGCCGTATAGTCCAGTAGAAATTCGACGACGTTTCAGAGGAACATGCTGCCTCCATCTTCACGGAAGAAAATGGAAGGCCTTTGCTCTTTGTATCTTATTCGTTGCTTAGCATATATTTGGCCCTGAAAATAACGGCAGTAAGTCACTCCGAACCTTCAACGAACCTATACCAGATTACACGGACTCACATGTAGTCCTTGTATGATAATTTACAAGGGCTGTTATACTTTCATAGTCTCGTGTTTAGATTTATGATTTTTCTGAAACTGTGTTACTTCTGGTTTCGATATTACGTACATAGATGAGTTCCGACATTGAAATATTTTGCAACGAGTTTGTACGTTACAAAATAAAAATGCTGTAACGAGCAAAAACAAATAAAATTGAACACTTTCTGGAGCTACTAAACGGAAACAGCATTTCTCGAAAGTATATATCTAGATCCACTCCCCTACACGTCTCCATGACGTAGTGATAAATTACGTAAGCACAGGAAGAACTTTATGCATCTAGTGCTTTGAACCAAATCTTTATGGGGTACAAGAGTACACCACGCGATGCAATGCAGATTGGCGTTACTAGTTAAGGAATACAAGCCGTTAATTTGACAGTTGAAAGAAGTAGACAAATTTCTGTTTAGCATATAGTTTTGTTCTGGCAAGGATTATAAACCGTTATTTTGACATTTGAAAGAAGTGAACAAAATTCTGTTTAGCATATAGTACAGTTCTCGTATGCACACGTGTACACCACACATCTTCCGCTGCCTAGACATGACGGCGAATACATTTTTTCCTATGGTTTAATATCTGGCATTTCTTTTGGAAGACGATGCTCACAAACTTACAATGTTCAAAAAGGAATGATAGTGTGGGGGGTGGGGGTGTAAGATGGCTCTGGGGAGCGTGTAAAATATGACTGTGGGCCAGCTACTTATTTCCTGTAGTCTTGACATGTATAGCTACGGGTTGAGCCTCCGCTGTGGGAAGAGAGCGCCTGTTGCGTCACAGTTTATGAGTGCGAAGAGTGAAGGAGATAAGAATAATTGGGAAAAGAGAGAAGTGTCACTCTTGACGCATGGCTGGGCAGCGTGCAGCGTGACAAGTACTGCTTCTAACTTGTCCGCAAGTCCACTGTCCAGTTATTTATTTAATTCAATGGGAATACTTCATTAGGCAATAAGAACACATAGAAAGAAAGACATAATTATTTAAGTGAAACGTACAGCTCATTTAAACCAGTCCATAACAACATAAAAATTTACTACCGTTCATATTTGAGAAAAGAAACACAATAAAAAGACCATGTTCTAAAACAGTGCGATGTCAAAGACACAGAAATAAGGCCGTAGTACACAGATTTTCCATTTGCCCTAATTTCTGGTTCTTCCGTCGTGGCGCGCCATGAACGACCACAAGAGAGCCTTCCTCTGAAGAAAGACAGGCGGCACAAGTTCGGCCCCGTCAAGAGATGTGATAAGAGAAAGGACATGAACCTATTTGGTTTATAAATTCTAACTTAAATAACAAAAGTCTTTTAAAAAAATTAATATATCAAGACAGCCGCTGTAGCTGTGAAAACTTAGGATTTTGTATCTATTTGTGCATTGTAAATATTGTATGTATATATATTTTAACATTCAGGACACCCATTGTCATAGTGGTTTCCAAACAGTATTGATGTCCCTCTGATGATGGTATCTTAAGGACCGAAACATGTAAGGGCGTTAAGAATTGAAGTAAGAAAACCTTCATCATTCACACTGGACGGAATTGTTGTATCTTTTATAATATTGTTAGTGTGACGGACCAGAATGAAACAAATCAAAACACTATGTAATATTTATAATTTCCCATTCTAAACTTATCGTACGTAACATCAAAGATTCGCACTATCGTCATGTTTGAGACTAGGTACTTAGAAGCAGTTGTTGGTACAGAATTTGCTGGAATGCTTAGGAGTATCTTTCCTACCACATTTCACATGTCTAACTCCAGCGGCTCATTGCTTATTGGTATCAAACTGAAAGATAAATCCAGATATTTATGCAGCCGCCAATTTCTTACCATATATTTTATACAAAAGGAAGCAAAAAGTTACTTAAATTTTAAAGATCTGTTACCATACATAGTTACAGAAGCCTATTTTATTTTTTTACTCTTGATCAACCTCACAACTTCGTGCAACGGTCGTGTTTGTGTTATCGCGTGCAGGAGATTCACAAATGAGATTTTGGGGTGGCCTCCAAATGATTAGTGTCATACGAAATTTTATCAGAATCCTTCCATCGGTCCTCGAGTTGAAATAAGTCGACATACGGACGGACAGACAGACATTCATTTGCTCCTTCATTCATACACGTATTCTCTCTGGAGTATAAGACATCGGTGAATTGCTTTGTTTCACTTCAGTTTCCTAATCTTTAGACAGTCTGTAGGACTCATTGTATGGGGGATCAGCCTGTCGCAAGGCCGCCACCTGCACAGGACAGCACGGACACAGAATAAACGTAGACAAACATCCATGCCTTCAGTCGGATTCGAACCCACGACTCTAGTTTTCGAGCGGGCGAAGACACCTCTTGCCTTAGGACGCGCGGACACCGTGTTTTCTGACAGACAGAGATCGGCAGACTTATATGGACTAATTTCTTATGAATCATACAAAGAACTCATAAGGTGAGGAAGGGAAATGAGGCCTAACCTTCATCAAGTCGATTCATCTTGTAGATTTCTATATATGATTGACAGCCACTAAAGTTAAACTTGGGTCCAAGCGGTCCAGAAGGCCGATTTGTGTCAGTTATGTACAAGTGCAAATGGATCTGAAGAATACGGCCAACTTTCTCAGATCTAGATACTCTTCGCCCCTCGCCAGGTTCCAGAAACCAACTTTAGAGACGTCTACAAATTAAAAACAAAAAAATCACAGGCAAAGGAGGCCAACCCAAAATTAATTTACGGTCTGCCGGTGAGCTGCGATAGACGTAATAATTCATTCTGTGGTCGTCAGGATTGTGATTCAACGTAGTATTGTAAGCGTATACCGTCGTTTTGGAGAGATATGTTACTTCCATCTTCAGGTCGAATTTGATGGGCAGGTTCAGGAACTGGGCATGTTATAAGGAAGCTGTCTATAACATCTAAGGTAAGGGTTGAGAAAAGGAGTACTAACCGAACCAATGGGAAAAATGTCAAGTAAATTATAATAACAAATTCGAATGTTGTGGAATACGTCGTAAAACTCAGGAACAAGCTAACACGAGTTTTCCTGTATGAAATATTGGAATATGGTTCCCTGTTCTTATTTTTTACATGATAGGTTCTTTTTTGAGGGGACATACGATAGCGTAGTTGGTTGAGGCACTGTGTTATAAGCCGGAAAGTTGCAGGTTCGATTACCGATGACGTCTCTGGATCTTTCAATTAAATTCGCCCTTCCAACCCCAGTAACCTCTATAAGCCTAAAGCAGAAGTTAAATGTATGATGCTGTCATTTCAGATCACGATTGAGGTAGAGGATGTTAACGACGAGAGCCCTAAATTCATCGGTGATTACAGCACGCCCATTCGTCTAAAAGAAAACACAGATGAACGGAGGGGCCTCTTATTCATGGAAGCCAGTGATGATGATGCAAGTCGTAAGAATTATTTTATCTCTATTAATATTTACTACTTATAATGAGAGAAGGTACTGTAGAGTCTAAAGGGTTCTGACGATGGTGTATAACTCGCAGACTTACTGAGTTTTTGGACTTTGTCCATCGTCCCGTATTCTAGAAAATAGAAAAGAAGCCTTTTCGGAAACTGGATCTGTTTCCGTCCTCATATGAAAGGGAAGACACATATTTAGTTAAGCCCCTTAGAAAGTGCTAATCTCAATCATTGAACCAGTGTCTTCCCTTCACATGAGGACGGAAATAGATCCAGTTTCCGAAACGTCTTCTTTTCTATTTTCTAGAATACGGCACGACAGAAAAAGTGCAGAGACCCAGTAATTCTGTGAGAAGGTACTGCGTTTATTTTGAAGAAATAATATAATCATTATTTTCAAATATCTTTCTATATTTTAAACTCGAATTCAAATATCTTAATCTATACCATTAGCATCCCACCCGAAACAAAAGAGAATTTTTGCTCACAATCGGACAACCAATGAAGTTCCTCTTTGAGCCAATAAGTATTCATATATTACAGTTCTGATAAAACTTCCCTTGTAACAGGACGTGAAAGTCCATAGGGTTGTGAGACGTCGAGGCTCCCATATTTTCTCTAGATNGAATGCAAGGAGGGTGGCAACTGACAGACAAGTGCAAGGGATTTCTACCTTCAAAACTAGCTTGCAACCGCCAGCCATTGTCTAATGGGCTGCTAGCAACTATCACTTTTATGACCATTGACACAAGATACACCTTCCTACTAGTCCGGTAGTCTCTTGTACATTGTCATTCAGTTCATTTTCACAGAGCGACAGGTGCTGATGTTACATTGTGATGAACGTATAAAGGTTATAATTAAACATTAAATTATCAACTACGAGTTTTCTTGTATATGTAGAGTAACTTTTAAAGGGCAATGTCGCTTTCAAAAAATTCAAGTAGCAAAAAAAGAACTACTGAAAGTGAGTGCCGTGTTTTTCAAGAAAAATGGGAAATCGCTTATTTCTGTTGTGAAATAGAAGGTAAAATTACATGTTTGATTTGTGGGCAAAATATAAGTGTTCCACTTTAGGTAATTCTAATTTATATTTCTATTTTGAAGTGCTGCCCTGGACTATTATTTATGGGGCCGAGGTGGCCCTCTGTACAAGTTGAGTTTCACATGCTTGCTCTAGATATTCGGCTCACAGATGGCGGTGAGATTGTCAGCCTTAAGTTCCGGCCGCCCTTTAACCCCCATCCAAGAAGATACCCGGTACTCATTTCTGTTATAGTCTGAGTCGATCCCAGGGCCATAGTGCGGCTAGAAGAATTAGGTCAATTGGAAAGAAATCACCTCATCGGGACTCGAATTCGCGAACTACCGGCTTGTAGCATAGTGCTTCAAGCAATTACGCTACCGCCTGTCCCTTTTAATTTTGATACGTTAAATAATGATTGTGCCGTAGTTCCTGAAATGCAGTAACTCTATTCGTCATTTGTCCTTAGTGATTCTTAGTCGTTCGTAGAAGACATGAGTGATTCGTAAAGCAGAGAGAAATCAGTCACAGGAGAAGCAAGCCTAAAAGAGAAGACAGTCGTAGTCCAGTGAGGAATGGAACGGTTCTTAGGCAGCCATTTATTTAAGCTCTTATAATTCATTGTAATTAAGAGTGATTGTAATAGAAGGCGTCAATAAATCCAAACATCCAATCCAAAACCCGTCATTATTATTCAGGGAACCCCGGACACTTGACAGTATCAACTCTGCAAGTGCCCCACAGGTTACGTTCCGCATACATGAACTAGTCACGATCATAATGTGAACATACTAATTCTGAGTAGTTCTGTAGTTTTGCAGGTAAAGCTATCCCTATCACCGCACGCGGTAGCGTAGTTGGTTGGGGCACTCTGCTACAAGCTAGTACAAGTCTGCTACAAGTCTCGGTTTCGATTCCCGATGAGGTCACTTTACTTTTTAATTGACTTAATACTTTCAGCCGCACTATGGGTCTGGGGTCGACTCAGCCTCTAACAGAAATGATTACCAGGAATCTTCCGTGTGGTAAAGGGCGGCCGGCCGATAAGGCTGACAACTTCACCGCCATCTGTGAGCCGATTATCTAGAAACGGTGGGAGCCTCCGTATCTCACAAACTTTTGGGCTTCCACGGCCTGTTACAGGGATATATTTACGTTTCTTATCTTTTGTAGTGGGTGTATATGAAGTTTACGTGATTAGATATAGTGAACATTAAATTTGTAGAGGACATTAAATATATGTGTATATTTTCTCCAGCTAAATTCAACACACTTCGATTCGAGCTGGAAGAGCTGTACAGAGGCATTTTTGAAGTTGACCTCGTTACTGGCGAGGTATTCGTGCCGCAAGGAAACAAAGACCGACTGGATTACGAAAAGAAGAACCGCTATGAGATCCAGATAACGGTCAAGGATCGCTGCGACACTGGAAACTGTTACGGTAAGTTTAAGAATGAAAATTTTCCTGATGTCTGACACAAAGAGAAAGATGTTTTATGAATAACCTCAAGTATAATAGGTTTTTTTTAATTCGTTTAGTGGGGGGTGGAGTCCAACTGGGTCCACTCGGCACGGTGGCCACTGATTGGCCTATTGTAGCCTGCCCCGGGTGATCATTATGATGGAGAATTTGGTGATATGAAGATTGGCAGGGGAAACCGAAGTACTCGTAGGAAACCCGCCCCAGCACCACTTTACCCACCACAAATCACACTTCACCAGAGTATAATAAGAAATATCATTCTAGTTTCATGAATAGGGGATAAAAGGAAGAAATTTTCTGACTGAATTTTCCATTTTTATATCTTCTGCAACGGAGGAAAACAATGTAAATTTATTCTTTGTATAATTGTGTCATACTTAACGAATTTCCATGACTTGCTGCTCGTCAGTTGGTTACGAACATGAAATATTTACGCTTTAATGCAAATATTTTAAAGTAGTTTCTCATGTTTAACCGCCTCGATCTCTCCTCTCCCACCTTCCAATATCTCCGGGGTCAACAGAGCTGAAATGATGGCAAGTGTGCTCACAAAAGCAACCAATGACAAGTCAATGTTGGTCTACTTGGAAGGTCGTCATTATACACGTAGAAGAGCAGCGATGTGAGACTTAAAATTCTCTCGAAGTTCACTAACGAATTTAGTCTAAATATTCTCACTCGAAGCCACACTTGTGTTATTAGGGTAAAGCCTTTTGTTAATGAAATTTTAAGTCAAAAGCATCAGACTTATATTAGTAATTTTAATATCAATTGATTTCGATGGTGCTTCTTCTGTTAGCTTGTTAAGATTCACAAACATCTGGTAAGTGTTCTATTTTGTAACTCAACAGTCACAGACACAAATTTCATTCTAAATTTTGAATTCAAACTTAAAAGGTTTTAATAAATAATTGTTCATCTTAATTCTTACCAGCCATAAATATATTCTGAGACGTTAAGTAAAAACCTTAGTTGTCATTTTAAAGTTTATTTATTTTTTGATAAACATTACATAGTCACGTTATACGATTATGCTTAACTTTATTTGAATATTGTCATGTCAGCGAGTAAACTTCTGCGCTGTTCCATAAAAATGAAAATGAAGAAAATATTATTGGCACAAGAATAACGAGTAACACTTACACCATAGGCCTATGGCGAGCGGCCTCCGTAGTCTAGGGGTAACGTTCCCACCTCATGACTCAAAGTACGCGGGTTCAAACCCGGCGGAGGTCGTGGAATTTTTAAGGGCGGAAAATTTCAGGGAACAAGTCCTCCGGGAAGGACTTTAAGCCGTGGGTCCCGTGTCGTAGCTTTACGGCACGTAAAAGATCCTCGTGCCTCAAGGAGGTCTCTGAGCCAAATTATTAAGGACATTTCCCGCCAAATAATAGTCTCTAACGCCTCTGATAGATGGGGGAAGCATCTAGATACCGCTGAGCCAGTAGAGGCCGAACTCGCTGGCTGAGTCGGGACTGATGGTACGCACCAGTATCGGTAGGGTATAGAGACTGGTAGAATATCACAGGGGGACGTACAATAGACCACTGGTCGCGGTGCATGGGGAAACCCACCCCCCTCCAGTAATAATAATAATAATAATAATAGACCAATGGCTAGCACTCACAGAACGCAGAAGGGAACATGAAGTAGCATGATTTGGCAATTCTGACTCAGACCTAGCGATCTGTGAATATGTTGTGCTACAACATTACACTTAACGAATGCACACAAACGTGCATTATATTGCATAATCCAAATTTATTACGTTCTTCTCACTCGACAGGGGACAGTTTAAGTGCGATGACAAGAATTACAATCGAGTTGGAAGACGTGAACGACAATGCGCCTGTAATTCAAAACGGAGACAGCCAATTTGAAGCACTATCTGAAGACGTCGGCCAGGTAATACAGTATATACAGTCCACTTGGATACCAGAATTAACCCTGAAGATGATAATTGTAATATTTGTTCTCATCTCTTTCGTGTGTATTGTACGCTTCCTACTTTCATCCCGGTAAGGCATATAAGGGCAGCGAACAAGCTATGAGGCTCATCCTCGTGAAAATGGGACGCTTTAGATATTGCATAGAAATGCCCATTGCAAAGTTTAATCTCCTTTGATGATATTAACCGAGTACCGCCCTACAAGTGACAATAATATACGAAGTTTCTAGCTCTTTATCCTTTCGTACATCTCATTGAACACTTATCTGATAACATCTTGAATATCCGGCATAAGATCTTCTTCACTCATCACTCACGCCCACTTTGCACTGAGATGCTATTTCCAAAACTTGGTTTTCGTATGACTTCATCTAACTTTTCGGTAGCACAAATCAATTTTACCAACTGCAGAACGTGAAATATGGAAGAATTCAATATTTTGAGACAATTCCGTACAGAGGTATATTTACTGTCTTGCAACAATTTAGCACTCTGCTCATATTGGAGAGGTACTCGGTTCCAATGTAGGAGTGGACACTGGTTATCCTCACTGAGTTTTTATTGGTTTTCCTAAATCCCCGAAGGTGAACACAAGCACAGTACACTGAGTTGACCACGATCGATTCTCCCCAAATAATTTCCGGTTGTTCATTCGTCAATCATCCTGCCATTCGCCGCCATGCATTCTAGCTACTTATAGGACCATACAATAACCCATAGAGAATTATAAGGAATTAACGTTCTCATTAAACGACAGTCTTCTTATATATTCCTGTGAATGTTACCCACTTCATAAAATGGCCCTCTGTAAGCTTATGTGATATCCTTGTGAAAGCTGCCTGAGGTGAAAAACTTAAGGAGCGTCCACATTACTCGTGCTCGTGTGACTCGCTATGCTCGCGAGTAATGTGGACGATATGACAAGTCACGATACAAGCAAATTTTAAATTTTTAATATAAAAACTATGGCCAATAAATTAAAATACGACTACAGCCTATACACACGACGAGTAAATATACGGATCCTCACGCGCCGAAGACTGGCGAGCAACTGAAATAGTGTGGATGAAGATTTACGAGCACAAGTAAAAGCCAGATGAGTCTCCCGACGAGCACAAGCCTGGCGAGCACGAGCACGAGGAATGTGGACGCGCCCTTAGATATTCCTGAGGTCGAGTCGAACAGCTCCATTATGCAAACATTGCTTTCCTTAGATTGGTTATTTGATGACGCTCTCTTTATCGGGATTTTGTAGCTAGATGACAGGATTATTACTGAATATGAAGCAGTTCGCACAAGTTCCTTTCATGTTTGCTGTCTGTTAAACCCGCTCTATTGTGTAATTTCTAACACCGTATGCTGCTGACAGAATTCTAATATACACGCATTTAAATACAGATTTCCTTATTTTAGCGTAGTTGGTTGAGACACTATGCTATAAGCCGGAAGGTCGCCGGTTCCAGTCCCGATGGGGTTATTGCATTTTTTTCAATTGACCTAATCCTTCCGGCCGCTCTATGGCCCTGGGATAGACCCAGCCTCTAACAGAAATGAGTACCAGGAATTAATTAAATAATTTTCCTCGGGAGTAACTTGCGTCCGGCAGATGAGACTGACAACCTTGCCGCCACCTTTGAGCCGATTGTCCAGATAATGTGGGAGCCTCGACGTCTCACAACCCTACGGGCTATCACGGCCTGGTACAGGGATAGCTCTACTTTTACTTTCAATCGCGGCATTTCTTCATTGTAGGGCTTCCCTGTCGGCTACGTGAGGGCTGAAGATGCGGATGTGACTGACGACAAGAAACTGAGATACACGTTCATAGTCGCGGAACCAGAAGAGGGTCTCGAGCTCTTCGCTATTAAGGACGATGTAGACACGAACAGAGGGGTAATTACTGTCGCAAAGGATTTAACCGATAAGTGGGGAGAATATCGTCTGACAGTGATGGTAAGTGGCTTAAGTCAATTTGTGCATAATGTTGAACCTACGCCATTATGGACAGCGACATTCTAGAGGCATTCGTAATGATAAGTGTTAAGAATATCAAGGTTTAACATGTTCCTCAGTATACTTGATACTAGCAAACTTGTGGTCTCTCGGACTCTGATACCGATCAAATGGCTGACTAGATAAAGCTACTGACTGGTAGGTTCCTTTTCGAGTCTTGGGCGGGACACCAACTGCACCGACAACGTTGTTCCGTGTTATTCCTCAGTCCCTTCGGTTACATGCAAGAGCCATATCTCCAGTTCAGACTTCTTATTCTTCTTCTATTCCTATTCGACCCACTTAGAGCATAGGACATCCATGAAACGCTCATTTAAATTAGGTCTCTTAATCTTAGACAGGCGATAGGATTCCTTGGACGTGACATCAGCCCGTCTGAAGGCCGATACCTAACACAAACACAGAGTAAACGTGGACAGACATCCATACTTTAGGTGGGATGCGAAGCCATGATCCCAGGGTTCGAGCGAGAGAAGATATTTCATGCCTTAGACGCTATGTAGTCTGAGTTACTGTTGAGGTCGTTAAATTGCTTACAGACTGAATCAGTGCCACCGTGTTACAACCTAGTAATGGGCGCCAAATTTTCGGAGGTAGTATGGATGGAGTATGTTATTCCGAAATTTGGTACGGAGACCAGAAGACCACAATAGCAATTATCACTGCCTTGGGAACTTAGAATCGTGAACGGGGAATATGAATAATTTGGACGGATTCATGCAACCTCAGAATGTTAGAAATTTGATAGCCAAGTGGCGAAACATTCAGGCTTTGGTAAACTGAGTGATACGTGTGTAAATTTTTTCAGGTTCGAGACAGTGGCAATTTATACGATACTTCTGTTTTTACTATTATTGTAAATGACATCAACAATAATCAACCTGTGTTTGAATTTCCTAATGCCGCCACGGAGATTAGGCTCAATATTGAGGTAAGTTCGGTTATTTATATATCCCTAACGATAACAGGTATGGTACTGATTATGAAACTTTATGATTGGATGAAAATAAAAGGAATCTTAATTTCGTTTCATTACTCTTCATGTGTTAAAATGAAAATAGCTTATGTATGCAGTTGAAACTCGACAAATTAACCTGTTCTTTTAAGAGGAATTGAAAGTCTAAAACATAAGAGAAACTGAATGTCAAAAACTAAAATAAACGAACTAACCCGCTGTTTTAAGAGAAACTGAATGTCAAAAACAAAAATAGACAAACTAACCCACTGTTTTAAGAGAAACTGAACGTCATAAACTAAAATAGACAAACTAACCCGCTGTTTTAAGAGAAACTGAATGTCAAAAACAAAAATAGACAAACTAACCCACTGTTTTAAGAGAAACTGAACGTCATAAACTAAAATAGACAAACTAACCCGCTGTTTTAAGAGAAACTGAATGTCAAAAACTAAAATAGACGAACTAATCTTCACCTTAGGTTTTCAGAGTGTCTGTTGAGTGTCGGGTTAGTGGCTGATTGCTTTATTAAGTGCTTAGTTATTTATGTAGTCAGTTATTCAGTTATCTGCATATAAAGAAGTTTGTTACGTCAAGACCTCTGAATAGAAATATTTCATTTCGAAAGTAAGTGCTGCTAAATTAATGTACTGATATTCCATGAACTTCAAAAATTACAGGGCAATAAATTAGGCACGGTCTTGACTGATGTGAACAAAAGGAAGATGGTTTTCAGTGCCACAGATCCCAAAGACAAGGGATATAACGGAACGGATGGAATTTCTTACGCCGTCATAGGACAAGGCATGTTTCAATTTGAGATATTATTGACATGTGGTGCTACCTCGTGTTCCAGATGAATATTTATTACTGTAGTATAAGTGCCCTCTTGCTATTTTCTGCATTTCATAATTAATAATACAGATGAATAGGTGCAAGCTGCAAACCTTCTATATATTAATGCGTTCAGTTTTGTTTTATTAATAGCGGTATAACAATGTTTGTGAAAATAATATTTTCAATGGTGCATGCTGTATCGTAGTTGGTTGGGGCACTACACTACAAGCCGGAAAGTCGGGGTTTCCATTCCCGATGAGGTTATTGGATTTTTCAGTTGACCTATTCCTTCCAGTAGCACTTTGACCGGGAGTCGACTCGGTCTTTAACAGAACTATGTACCAGGAATCT